TGCAAGCCAGGGACTCCTCTGTGGGCCGTCCAGGCCACCATGGGCCGTGGTGGAGAGCCAGGAGGGGGGGCAGGGCTGGTGGCCCGTCCTGAGGAGGAGGAGGGCTGGAGTTTCTCTCCCCAACAGGAGGGGGAAACGCAAATCCTGGCCTGAGGCCGCAATCCCCTACTGAGGTAGAGAGAGAGGGGTGCGTGTGGGTAGGGCCAGAGGGATTGCCTTTTTATCCTGTTTATTTTCAGTGCCCCAGTTGTGTTGAAGAGCCTGTGTTTATTTTCTGTGCCCAAAATGTATATAGTTAAATAAATCTTCCTTTTCTGAGTTTAAAAAGCCTGGTGCGCCTTAAGCACAGGGTCCTCCCCGCTCTGCACGTTACCAGGGGCAAAGGGAGGCCAGGGGACACAAACGGGCCTAGATCTGAGGGGTTGCCAACTCTCCAGGGGGCGCCCAAAGATCGAGGTACCCACTTCCCGAGGTGGGGAATATAGCCAGAGGGGTCTCACTGTCCCTCAAGAAAGGCAGTAACTTAATTCAGTGAGGGGTGGCAGCGTTTAGCGAAGAGAGAAATAGTCCCACCAGGCAGGGTGGGAAGGCCAAAACGGGCTTGCGAGCCACAGGACGGCACCTCAGTCTCCCAGGGCCGGGGGCGGGTCCCCGTTTCGCCACAAGTTCCTTCCAAAATTGGGCTATGAACTGCGTTCCACAGTCTGCTATCATTTTGCATAGCAATGCGTGGAGCCTCACCACATGCTGTAGAAACATAGTAGCCAACTGTTTCGCCATGGGTATTTGCCTACATGGCACAAAATGAGCTTGCTTAGAAAACAGATCAACCACTACCCAGACCAGACCACTGTTTTCCCTGGGCTGGGGGAATAAGTCGGTTATAAAACCCATTGAAGTCATGGCCCAAGGTCTCTCTGGGGTTCCCAAGGGCTGGAGCTGGCCAGGGAGGGACCCTTCTTTTACTCATTATGCAGGTCTGACAGGTAGCCACATACTTGGAAATATCTCCTCTCATCCCTGGCCACCAAATCTGCTGTTGAATTAAATGCAAAGTCTTTACATAACCAAAGTGCCCAGACATTTTGTTATTGTGACTGTGAGAAAGGACTTCGCCCCTTAAAGATCCCTTGTACCAGCACCCGTTCTCCTTTTGACACAATCCCTCCTTTTTTAATAGTCTCTACATCTTGCGGGGTGACTGTGGCTTTCAGCTTCTCCATCCATTCCTCCAGCTCCGCTTCCATCCCTGCTTTCGCCTGACTCCGTGTCATCACGGCCCCTTCCAACTGGGCAGGAGGAAACAGAGGTGTCTGTGACCTCATCACGCTGGCTGGTGTGCTGTGGGAGGCGGGACAGGGTGTCAGCAAGGAAGTTAGATTTTCTGGGGAGGTGCTTGAGAGTGAAATGAAACTTAGAGGGAAAACTCCGCCCACTAAAGCTGCTTGGCACTGAGGCAGCGGGGGGGGGGGGGTTTGAGGGCTTCCAAATTTTTATGATCAGTCCACACTCCAAACGGTAGGCTTGCCCCCTCCAGCCAGTGTCACCAAGTAATAAGGGCTAGTTTGATGGCCGCACCCTCCTCGTCCCAAACCGCCCTGAAAGTCTATCTCTGACTTATGAAACACACACTTGAATAACTTGGCATAGAGGTGGTTGCCATAGAGGGCTGTCAGCAACTCCCTCACCAATTTCATGTGTGAATCCATGTCTTGCGTGTACACTAACATGTCATCAAAATAAACAACCACCCCCTTAAATAGGTGCTTGTGTAACACTTCATTGATCAAGTTCATGAACACCCACGGAGCTCCAGCCAACCCAAAAGGCATGACTAAGTACTCGAGCTGTCCAAGGGGTGTGTTAAATGCAGTCTTGTGTTCATCCCCTTCCCTTATTCTCACTCTGAAGTAAGCGTCCCTCAAATCCAGCTTGGTGAAAATTCTCCCTTTGGATGCTTCATCTAACAAGTCTTTGGTCAAGGGCCGGGGGTAAGCATTAGACATAGAGATAGCATTCAGACCCCTGTAATCTGTGCACAGTCTAAGCCCCCCATCCTTCTTTTTCCTAAAAAGCACAAGTGCAGCAAAGGGAGACGTAGCCGGTTGGATAAAGCCCCACTCCAAATTCTTGTCAGTGAAGCAGCACAATTCCTCCCTCTCAACCGGGCTCATAGCATACAGTTTTTCTTTAGGCATCTTATGTCCCAGTAAGATTTCTATGGCATAGTCAGTTTTTCAGTGAGGGGGTAGCTCATCTGCCTCCCGCTCCTCAAACACAAGTCCCTATACTCTGGCGGGATGGCATTCAGCTCCTCTCTTGCCAGGCAAGCCCTTTCGGGAGCGGGGCAGAGCTCTTCCCCCCACACTGGGTTCCACTGATGCTCCTTGCACTGGGGGTCTAAAGAAGTCAACATTCCTAGACTCCACTGCACGTACGGGTCATGAGCCGCCAGCCAGGGGTTTCCCAGTACCATGGGGAACTGAGCAGTGGGGTGCACTATGAAAAGTCTCTGCTCCCAGTGTCCTGAAACCCCCACGGGCAGCTTCACCGTACGGTACTGGCATGATTGCATCATTGTGCCATCCATCTGAGTAACACCCACGGGGTCCTTTAACTTGGTTACCCCCACTCCCAACCCCGTAACTAATGTGGGACTCAGCAAGTCCCGGGAGCACCCTGAGTCAATAAGGGCTCTTACTCTTACTTGGGTCCCCGCTTTGGGGTTTAAAGTAGTAACAGTCACAAAAAACATGGATGAACAGGTTCTCGCCGATTCTCGCACTGGGGCATCACGAGCCTGCTGGTTGGCTCCCTTCACAGCAGGTCTCGGCCTTTCCCCTGCACCTGAGGCTCATCGTCATCGCTGGAGGACGTTCCTCCGGACGAAGTGAACTCTGCTGCTTGCAGTGCTTTGGGTTACTTGGGTCTTTCCCCCAGAGCCTTTCCTTTCTTGTCACGGTGCTCCTAGCACCGGTCCCGATCCTCGTACCTCTCGCGGTCTTCGGGATGTGCCCAGTTGCAATCTGCGGCAAAATGCCCGGCCCTCCCACAGCATAGGCAGAGCCCCCTTTTCAGGCGATACTTTCAATCCCCACCGGGTAGTGGTCCTCTACCCCGAGTCACACTTCATCGATCAAGTTCATTAATACACTCCAGCAACGCACACTCCCCTCCCTAGAAATTTGAAATGGCAAGCGAAGATACAGTGATAAGAACCAGGACTGCTAGAAATCGAAAGTGAACTGGGCCTGAGCTTGACAGCTTCTCTTATATTCTTAACCAACCTCACAGGGATGTTGTGCAGATAAAAAGGAGGAGAGAATAATGTAAGCTGCTTTGGTCCCCACTTTGGGGAAAGACTATAATTTTCCTAGGTAGGGGCTGTGGGGGAGGGGGGTGGAGATGGAAAGATGCAGATAAAGGTAGGTTTAGCTGTTGTAGATTTTCCGGGTTGTATGGCTGTGGTCTTGGCATTGTAGGACCTGACGTTTCGCCAGTAGCTGTGACTGGCATCCTCAGAGGTATAACACAGAGGATGCCAGTCATAGTTACTGGCGAAACATCAGGTCCTACAATGCCAAGACCACGGCCATACAGCCCGGAAAATCTACAACAGCTAATGAACTCCGGCCGTAAAAGCCTTCGACAACATAAAGGTTGGTTTATTTATTTATTTATTTATTATTTTTCAAATTTCTACCCCGCCCTCCGATCTGAAGCCGGCTTAGGGCGGTTTACATAAAATCGGCACAGCATTACAATAAAACAATTAATTAACAATTACAATAAAAACCAATTAACAATAACATAACAAGTGCTAGTATTGTTGTTATTAAAACAGTGATAGCTACCATATCAGCTCTCTTCCCATAACCGGCTTATAGATCTTCCTCGAATATCTTGCAGGTGGCTGGCACAGGCTGTTACTACGAATTCCAAAGGAATGGGCTTCCTATCCTAGTTGGTGGTGGTGGTGGTGGTGGCTCCAAAAGCCTGGCGGAAGATCCCCATTTTACAGGCCCTGTAGAACTAAAAAGTTCCGCAGGGCCCTGATCTCCTCTGGGAGTTGATTCCACCAGGATGGAGCCACCACCGAGAAAGCCCTGGCCCTGGTTGTCAACAGCTTGGCCTCCTTAACACTCAGGAGGTTGGCTGTTCGGTGGGAGGAAATAGGGTTGTCAACTCCAACTTGGGAAATTCCTGGACATTTGAAGGTTGGAGCCTGGGGAGGGTGGGATTTGAGGAGGGGAGGAATTTCAGACCGGTATAATGCCATAGACTCCACCCTCCAAACCAGCCATTTCCTCCATGGAAACTACCATTGCCAGCCTCCCTGTGAGGGCTGGAGATCACCTAGAATTACAACTGCTGTCCGGGTGACAGAGATCAGTTCCCCTGGATAAAATGGTTGCTTTGGAGGGTTGAGTCAATGGCAATATACCCTGCTGAGACTGCATGCCTCCCCAAACCCCACTGTCCCAAAGCTCCACCCCCAGATCTCCAGGAATTTCCCAACCTGGAGCTGGCAGCCCCAAGGTGAATTGATCTCCGTAGTTGGGAGATCCATTGTGATTCCCAGAGAGCTGCCACCAGCAGGTGGGTGGGTGGGAGCACTGCCACCACTGCTGCTCCTGTGTGGGGTGGGGGAGGAAGTGGGCAGGAAGTGGTAGAGTGATGATGGCAGAAAGAGAGTCATGCGGTGGGGGCAGAAAGAGAGAAAGAATGATGAGGTGGGGAGGCAGAAAAACAGAATGATGAGGGGGCAGAAAGAGAGGAAGTAACATGCATGCAGGTGAGAGACAGCGTAAGAAAAGGGGGGCAGAAAGGAGAAAGGGAGTGAGAGAGGTAGGGGGAGAGGGAAGGAAGCAAAGGTGTGAGGAATGGGGTAGTCATCCAGCAAGTTTCTTGTGGGTGTCCACTTATTTTAGCGAATTCTATTGCCTTTAAAAATATTTTATGGACCAATACTATTGATTTTTTTTTCTTTTGTTTATTAGGGTCCAGTGGTGACAGACAATGGGAATTTCCTGTTGGATTGGAAATTTGATAAAGTTCATAAATGGGACGATGTGAACATGGCAATCAAGATGATACCAGGTGAAGAAAGTGTTATCTTGCCAACTATTCAACAGATCCCGTATGCTGGTCTGTAATGTTTAGCTGTGAGTGAGGCACATTGCATCCGTTTTTCTTTTCTTTTCTTGTTTGAGCCCCCAGAGGGGATTTTTTATTGATTTTTTTAACTACAGAAAACTACAACAGAAAAGGGGGAAGGGGAACTACATATATGGGAGAAAAGTAAAGTACCCACTACTAACTAAAAACCAAAGAGAGGAGACCCTCCAACTAGCTTTAAAACATTAAGTCTTCTCATCATTGTTCTTTTTATGAACTGACTCAAACCCTTTAAAAAAGAAAACCTTTTACCCTCAAAGTTTACATTTAACTGCCCAATAACAGTATCCCCAATCATCCCCCAGAACCAAAGTTCTCAGAGGCACAAATCAGAGTCCTTCAGCCTTTACTTCTTCTTTTCCCTTCTCTTTCGCAGCTTATAGGGACTTTTCGGGGCTGCTGCCCCCTGCTCAGACAAAGAGTCCTTGCCAGATGAACCAGTTTCCAGCTCGCCACTGGACCTGCTGTCCTCTTCTTTTTTCTCGTCCTCTGACCTTCCCAGCTGTTCTTAAGGGTGTTGCCGCTACTGCTTTCAGGATAGCATCCCTGATGTGCCTCTTCGAGAATCTTACTACAGTTTCCCCAGGCAGATTGTTTTTCTTTCAAGAGCGCTGCGATCGGGGAGTCTGGACCTCTTAGAGGTTCCAGGCCCCCGGGATATTAAGCTTGCCCTAACCAAAGCCAGGGCCTTTTCGGTGGCGGCTCCTACCTGGTGGAATGAGCTCCCGGTGGAGATCCGGGCCCTGCGGGCCCTGGTACAGTTCCGCAGGGCCTGTAAGACGGAGCTCTTCCGCCAGGCTTTCGAGTAGGAGCCGCCGCCGCCACTTTACCACCATCGTGGCTTGATTTACCATCTACCTGGCTTGGGGCGTGGGCTGATGCTGCCGCAAGAGGAACATCACTCTGGCGCTCCTGTTTTTCTTACCATCGGCCGCCAGTGAGGGATACTGACCATCTTGAAGTTTAAAATTGAATTGTTGAGCACCATTTTAGTCTGTATTGGTTAAGGTTTTAATGTAACTTGTGTTTTATTTCCGGCATCGCCGCTTGTTTGCCGCCCTGGGCCGTACGGGTAGGGCGGGATATAAATCTCAAAATAAAATAAATTTTAAAATATATATATATATATCCTGAATATGACCTATAGGCCACATCCATGTCGTTGAGTAGCAATTCCGCCTTTATTTCTGTTACTGGGGCGAGTACCTCGCTCATAAGTTCTTTAAGATTCTCTCCTTTGTTCTCTGGCACCCCCTGGAAGCGCAGGACCATATTGGCCTTATCCATTTGGACTTGAAGTATTTGATCTTCTAAAGAAGTAGTTTTCTTTTCCAATTTTTGCACTTTCTTCTTCCCTTTCTGCGTTGATTCAGCCATTTCCTTTATTTTCTCAGCATCCTGCTTCATTACTTGGATTAAATCTGTTATTTGCATCTGTTGAGCAGTAATGCTTGTTACTACAGACAACTGCATTTGTTGGGCTGTAATATTTGTTGTTACCACAGACATCTGTTCTTTGAAGTTATTAAGCTGTTCCAGTAGAGGGCGCATGCACTCAGCTAAAGCCTTAGCCGTCTCACTGGTCGTTTCCGGCTTTGGGGACTCTAGTTTTGTTTTTAAAAGTTTCTCTTTGTCTCTGTCCCTCTTCCCCGCCATCTTTTCCCCCATTTGTTTACTTTCGGGATTTTTTTTGAAGTCTCTGAATATGCGCTTGACTGCTTAGCTCGATTGGGTAAGTACTTCTGGGCAATCGCACGTTTTTCTTCTGCTCCCCCCCCTTTCGCTCAACAGTTTATGCGCATGGGAGGCGTCCCCCCCCCGCTCGCTTTTCCCATTCCATGGGATAGGGTAGGGAGTGTCTTTTCTTTTAAAAATCGTTTCTCAGTTGACTCACGTCCATAGTTGGTCTTCTTTCATCATTTTTCATGCCTGATCTCCTGCGCTTGACCCGGTTAGCTTCACTTGTACCATTCGGTCTCTCGGCTGGAATAACCACTGGAGCGGAGGGGAGCCTCGATTCTCTGGCATGCCGCCATCCAAGAGGCTACCCCTCAAAGCTCCTTGGCCAGGGTCCCTTTGCCGGGCCCCTAGGGGGGTTTACGAGCCTGCTCGCCCCTCCTTCCGCCAGAGCACAGAGACACCCCCAGGAGGTCTGGGAGGTGAGTCCATGAGCGTGCCGCCATCAACCGGAAGTCCGCATTCGTTTTGTTGTTGTTCAGTCGCACAGTCGAGTCTGACTCTTCGCTACCCCATGGACCACATCACGCCAGGTCCTCCTGTTTTCCAACGTGATCCGGAGTTTGCTTAATTTCATATTTGTTGCATCGATGTCAGAATCAGGTTCTGCTGATTGTCATGTTGACTGTTTTCTTTTGTTTCTGTCTTTGTAGTTCGCTTCCGTTTTTCAACCATTTGGTCTCAACCTTTGCCCACCAACGTGATCCGGAGTTTGCTTAATTTCATATTTGTTGCATCGATGTCAGAATCAGGTTCTGCTGATTGTCATGTTGACTGTTTTCTTTTGTTTCTGTCTTTGTAGTTCGCTTCCGTTTTTCAACCATTTGGTCTCAACCTTTGCCCAGCCCTCTCTGCCATGAAGATTCTGAGGGATGGGGGGGGAGTACGTGTGAATGCCATATAACTGTATGTGTGTATGTGGGTGTCAGGTTAGCTTTGCTGGTAATGACTTTCCCATGAGAACGAGCCCCAAGAGAATCTCACCCTTGAAGAAACATCTGTTGCTAGATAATAATCTTTGTAGTAGGGTAGTAGGCAGGGGGAGTGAAAGAGGGTGGGGGAGTGAATGCCCACTGCATGACATTATGGGACATTGATCTATTACCTATACAATGCCTGACCCCTGATCTATTCCTTAGTCTGAACAAGAGTTCTCTCTTGTGCACATCTAACTCTCTGTTTCTTATAAAGATTTTATGAAAAGACTATTAGGTTGAGAGTGAATTGTCTCAAGGGTCTGACAATCAATAACACTGTCTAACCATCTCATCCTTTGCCATCCCCATCTTCTTTGACCTTCAATCTTTCCCAGCATCAGGGTCTTCTCCAGTGAGTGCTCCCTTCTCATTTGGTGGCCAAAGTATTTGAGCTTCAGCTTCAGGATCTGGCCTTCCAGGGAACAGTCAGGCTTGATTTCTTTTAGGATTAACTGATTTGATCTCCTTGCAGTCCAAGGGACTCTCAAGAGTCTTCTCCAGCTCCATAATTCAAAAGCATCTATTCTTCGGCACTTGGCTTTCCTTATGGTCCAACTCTCGCAGCCATACATGACTACTGGGAATACCATTGCTTTGACCATGAGGAGTTTTGTTGGCAGGGTGATGCCTCTACTTTTTAGCATGCTGTCTAGGCTTACCATCGCTTTCCTCCCAAGGAGCAGGCGTCTTTTAATTTCATGGCCACAGTCTTAAGAACACTTTCCTGGGAGTCAGTCCTACTTACTTCTGAGTATACCTGCTTAGGTTTGCTCCCTGAATCCTTGTTATGAAAAAATGTTTCAAGGCAATAAAGATGGGCTGCTAGTGAAGTGAAAGAAACTCTGGCGTGGGATGCCTTGAAAAAGCCCGGTCCTCTTTGCATCCACAGGAGGCACCTGTCAGGCTTTCCAATCAAACATTCAACAACGTTCCTTCATAGGTTTCTGTTTATTGAAGTTAGTACTGGAGATACCCTGAGCTCTCATGTCAGGAATGACGGGTACCAAAGTGGTGGTTGCAATTATACCCCTTCAAACCAGACCCCCAGCTATGTTAAGCCCAATAAGCAGGCACCTGCGAGCGCGGGCTAAAAGCAGCAGTTCTGTTCCCAGCAGGAAAAGCAGTCTAGGCAGAGGCAGCCCTTCAAGGCCACTAGGCAGATAACAGAGACAGCAGAGACACGCGGGGGTTAGGCGGCGAGAGGGAGAAGAGGGGGGGCCAGCACTCCCCCCCCCCAGATTCCATTACATGGCAGCACTAGCTGACAGCACCCATTGGTAAGCCGCCCGCCCGCCATGGTAGGATGCTTGGTGTGGGACCACCCAACGTTTTGTTATCGGCTTCACCTTTTGGTAGCCGTTTTGTGAGTGGTTCCCCCCATGACAGTGGTGTTGTGGTAGTGCTCATTACTCTTTCCTAACATTTCAAAAGTGTCAGCAGGCTCAGCCAGGTCAGTCTCTTCGGATTGCAGGGTGGTCACTGACCCTTAGTACAGAAGGTTCCTCTTGACCACTGAATCACTGAGGCTGCATCCACACCTCATTGGACACTACTATCATTGTGCCATTGTGCTTACTGGAAAAACAACAGATAAATATTGAAACCATAAATTAAGAATATCAAACAGTAACTGTCAATTTAAAACCACATAAAACCGTTAGCAAGCTAAGTATATAACAGTCCACAGACTAGAAACTGGCTATTGAAAATATAGGCCTGGCTGTTTTGGCCTCTGGTGCCTGACCGTAGAGTAGGTGCCCGGTGAGCCTTCAGGGGGCAAGCATGCCTGAGGGTAGGAGCTGCCCTTGGAAACGTGTTTTCTGTAGCTGCCACCTGCCTCACCTCTACAGGTGAGGCACAAAGATCAGGCTTTAAGGAGAGGTTTTTAATTATATCAGTCTTTTACTGCTGGATTTTCCTGTGTGGACAAAGCAGTTTATTTGTGAATGGTTACTATTGTACAGATCGGTAGGGACCGGAAGAACCATGTGCTAATCACTCCATGTGGGCCAAGGTTCACCATGATCCTCTAGCTGTCCCAGTGTTCCATATCTCCCATCTCAGCAGCATGACAGGATTACTCATCCAGACACCTTGAAACTAGTAACCTAAATTGCCACCTTCAGATACCCTCAAGGAGATAGTCCTGAGGATCAGAAAGGTGTCTGTTAGGCATTCCTATGAACATAAGTGGAAATGCTGTGCCACCTTTAACTCAACACAAGGATGGTGGCTGTCCATGACTTGCATCCTAGTGTTCTACCTGTGTTCTCAAGGCCTGACACTTTAACCTCTTAGGACAAATCAAGATGGGTAGCCGTATTATTCTGTCTGTCGCAGTAGAAAAGAGCAAGAGTCCAGTAGCACCTTAATGACTAACAAAATATGCGGCAGAGTATGAGTTTTTGTGAGTCACTGATCACTTCTTCAGATACTGAAGAATCTGAAGAAGTGAGCAGCAGTTCACGAAAGCTCCTCCCCTGCCACATATTTTGTTAGTCTTTAAGGTGCTGCTGGACTCTGGCTCTTTTCTACTCACCTCTTAAGGCCCATCTAGACGCCATCTGAGTTTCAGACCCTTCTACCCCTTTTCCACTCAATGTTTGATGAAACAATCTTTCTAGACTTGAAATTTCTTCTTAAAATATATAAAGATGTTAGTTCTTGCTATTTTTATCTTATCACTGTTTGTAAATAGACTTTGTTTACAGGTTTCTCACACATATCAGTATATGTACCCCCCTCAACCAACACAATAATCTTTGAGCCCTTTCTTCACCTTTGTGAAGCTGGATGTTCCTGCCATACTCAAGACATTCTCTGAACCTGGACCTCAACAAATCATATCTGTTGATAATGGGTTAGACAGCTTCTAATCTATTTATTTTCTTTCTCTTCTTCAAGGTTGTTCTGTTCTGGGTCTCTGAACTCCCTTCTTGGCATGCTTCACTGAGATGCCAGGCGGCCAGCTCTGTTTCTGTTCACAGTGACATTTTCTGTGATTTTTTTTTTTTTTTGGGGGGGGGGGTCAAGTCCAGCATTTGTTCTCTGATCTGTCTGGCCATATCCATTGACATAATCCTCAGACAACTTGTGGTCACCCTCCTTACCTTCAAACATACCTTAATCCTGCACCCAGCTGTTAACTTTCTACAAAAGCTGGTCTCTAGGTTTCATTTAAACAAAGAGCTGGTCCTACACGTATCCTTCCCAAATCCAGTGTCACACGCATTCTTTGGAAGTTCAGAGGGCACCTTCAGAAAAGACTGTGCCCTGTCATTCATTTCTTATTCATAGCCCAAGAAAGGACAAAGTGTGTCTTCTCAGTGGTCTTGGCTATCACCAAGCTGTGCTCAATGTTCCCTGTAAGCTGTGGAGTCCTGTGAGCAAAAATTCTGCTTTGTGAGCTACTGGCATTAAAGTTGTGAGCAGGCAAAAACTGTCTACTGCATAAATTACTTTGCTCTGGAACCATCATTCCTGAGCTAAGACAAAAATGTGTGAGCCAGAGGCTAAATAACTGCGAGCTAGCTCACACTAACTCAGCTTAGAGGGAACACTGGCTGTACTACAAACTTGTGCACAGTTGTGGTTCGTTCCACCAGAGCTGTTGTCACCTTCTCTGCCTTTAGTAGAGGAATTCTGTTTGCTGAGCTCTATGGAATAGCAATCTGGGTGTAACCTTCCACCTTTATCAGGCTTTGTCCCATGATGTCTAAGCCAAAATGGATGTGCCAATCAGTAGAATGACATTGCTGAATGTTTTCTGTTCCTTGATTTGCTACTACTTGTCACAGCAGAGCTCGTCTTTCTCTCAAAAGTCAAATACCTTTAATTTTTATTTTTTATTTATTTATTTTTACATTTATATCCCGCCCTCCCCGGAGGCTCAGGGTGGCTAACAACATGTTGGCATAGCAGTAAGATACATAGATGTACAATAACACAGTATGGATATTTAGGAACATAATAAACAATAGGAATCATTCCTTTATGAGAATAGATCTAACTTTGACTGCTTCGGCAAGAAACTTGGCCACTAAAGCTGTAATATTAGGATTAGTATCCTTTAGTAGGGAGCTGCAGTGGCTCAAGTGGTTAAGACGCTGAACTGCAGGCTGTGGAAGGTCAGTAGTTCAGCAGTTCTAGACCCAGGTACCACGTGACGAAGTGAGCTCCCGTCTCTGGCCCCAGCTCCTGCCAACCTAGCAGTTCGAAAGCAAGAAATTGCAAGTAGATAAATAGGGAACACTTCGGTGGGAAGGTAACAGCGTTCCGTGCGCCTTGGTGTTTAGTCATGCCGGCCACATGACCACGGAAACGTCTTCGGATGGCGCTGGCTCTTCGGCTTGGAAACAGAGATGAGCACCACAACCCTAGAGTCGGATTCGACTGGCTTTCGAGCAAGGGAACCTTTACCTTTACTTTATCCTTTAGTAGATACTGAATAGCTTTTTTCCCTACTAGAACTAAAATTAGGAGGAAATAAAGATGACAACAATTCTTTGCATATGGCTGAGTGAAATTGACAGCCAAAAATAATATATATTGAATCCACAGATTTTAAAGGACAAGAACATAACCTTTCATGTAGGGGGATTTCATTAAACCGACCTGAGAGCATTTTTGAAGGGGAAACATTTAGACGGGCTAATAATGTAAAGGCTCTATGGTGCGAAGGCGGAACTAAGTTGTGGAGATAATGGGCCATCTGGCCATATTGAATTGGGAGATTTAACTGAGCCTGAGAAAATATGCAAAATTGTGCAGGAAATAACATTTGGAGTTCAAGGTCAAGCAGACTCCGTTTGATAACCTGGAAAATAGAGACTTCATCCAGTGAATAGAAATATTCTAAGGAGAAGCCGATTTGACTAATTTTCTTCTCAATATATGCCAACCATATATTGGTCTGAAGACCAAGTCCTATGAGGAAAGGTTGAAGGAGACGGGCATGTTTAGCCTGGAGAGGAGAGGACTGAGAGGTGATATGATAATATGAAGTACATCTTCAAGCGGTCACTGTGGGTGTGGAGGGGGAGGTATTTGTGAATCTCCTGCCTTGTTCAGGGGGGTGGACTAGATGAACCTGGAGGTCCCTTCCAACTCTATGAATTTATGATTAGCCCACAAGAAATAAAAGCAACTGCTTATCAGGAACTGTTTTCCAAGTGGTTGTCTGTGAAGCCACACTGTGTATTTATTTTTTCCTCAAAAGGTGCTTTAATTTGCTGTGGTGTACTGATTAGGAAAGATTGAAGGTCAAAGAAGACGGGGACGGCAAAGGATGAGATGTTTAGACAGTGAGATTGAGCAAATTTCAGAGGACAGCAGAAAACAGGAGGGCCTGGCGAGATCTTGTCCATGGGGTTGCGAGAAGAGTTGGACTCATAAGAACATAAGAGACGCCAATGTTGGATCAGGCCAAAGGCCCATCCAGTCCAACACTCTGTATCACACAGTGGCCAGAAATACCAGGTGCCATCAGGAGGTCCACCAGGGGGGCCAGGACATTAGAAGCCCTCCCACTCTTGACCCCCCCCCAAGCACCAAGAAGACAGAGCATCACTTGCCCCAGAGCCCCTATCTATACCTTGTGGCTAATAGCCACTGATGGACCTCTGCTCCATATCCTTATCTAATTCCCTTTTGAAGCCGTCCATGCTTGTAGCCGCCACCATTTCCTGTGGCAGTGAATTCCAAGTGTTAATCACTCTTTGGGTGAAGAAGTACTTCCTTTTATCTGTTCTAACCCGACCGCTCAGCAATTTCATGGAGTGCCCACGAGTTCTTGTATTGTGAGAAAGGGAGAAAAGTACCTCTTTCTCTACCTGCTCGACTGTGCGACTGAACAACAACAACAACTGATTAGGAAGCTGTGACTTCTCCTTCCACTTGGGCTTGCTCAGGTAGGAAAAGGGGAGAGTACTTTCACAGTTCGTGGCTAGCTCTAGAATTTTCCAGGTTATGCCTCTATGCAGGCACAAATCCCATCAGTGTGGATGCACAGGTGACCACTCTACAGACTCTCAGCCAAATGCACATTTGTGGCAGCAACTAGTCCACCACCCAAACTCTGAAGTCATGTTAGAAAACCAAATTCAGTTGTGAAAGAAAACATCCACCATTATTACTCACTAATGAGGGTGGAAAAGGTTTTCCATTGAAGCCCATTTTGTGCACCAGGCTGCAGATAATGACAGTACAGACCCGAAGACATCGACTAAGACGACACCATGGTCCATTGGAGCTCAAGAATCATTTAAGGTGCTTGAGGGTGACGGAGACGAGAGTGGAAGGAGAGCCCCAAAGACCTGGAAAGGGGAGTGAAGAGCACATGGTGCCACACGGAAGTGGAAGGAAACTGAAAGTGGTGGTCGTCGGGGACTCTCTGCTCAAGGGTATGGAACGTAATGTGTCCAAGCCGGATCCCCTACTCTGAGAGATGTGTTGCTTACCTGGGGCCAGAATTCAGGATATTACAGACCAACTGCCAAAACTGATAAGATTTACTGATCAGTACCCATTTGTGCTGGTTCATATGGGGATGAATGAGACGGCCGTAAATCATGAAAATTAAAGAGGACTATGAAGCTCTTTAATTGTATAAGGGCCAAGAAGCGACAGTTAG